GGAAAAGCCCTTTACTAAACTAAGAAAATAGAATAGATAGGCTTTTTTCGCTTGTTCGTCAAGTTTTCGAGCAGCTCTTTCAACTGCCGCCTAATACCCCAACATGCTCAAGAACCGAGAGCCGTCCAGGGACTGGACGGCCGGAGGGAGCTTGCTTATAGAAAGAAGATAGGCGGTCAAAGAAAAACAAGGTGCAACGGGCTCTCCGCTTCTAGTCACTAAATCAAAAAGACTAGGACACCCCCTTCTTTTCTTTTGATTTTATGCTGCATCAGTCCCATAGAATGGGGTAGATAGGAGTTAATCAGTAATGGGGGCCTTGCACCGACCATCCAATGGACCATGGACTAAACGGCCACTGCCTGAAAGGACTATGTCCATGGGACCGCCCCCCCCCCCCCCCCCCCACCAAGGTACATCTCGCGCCTATGGGCCGCTATAACTATCCAAGAAGACACTCGAAACTGGAAGGAGAAACAAACCCACCCGGTGGACTGCCGAACGGAAAGTCCTACGAGTAAAATCTCCTTGTGCTTCAGGACCCCATAGTAACAACAACGAATGTGCTAAACTATTAGCAGGAGTAGAAACCGCGGCAGTTAAGAAATTGCAACCTTCCAAATAAGAACTGGCCAATCTATGGGTATACCATGAAGTTACAAAGGTTGTACCTGTGAACCAACCCCTACAGCGAAATAGGCGCAAGGAAAGAGCAATAGACCGGACCAGCCTACAAAAACGAAACCTCTGGTAAAATGCCCGCCCGTAACCCAGCAGATAAAGTACATTACATAGTCCAGGGATTGGCGACTTACCCATTCAGTGACTTTGGCACTGGACGTTCCCAAAATGGGGACTATCGGGTAAATTCAATATAATAGACGCCTGTTGGCATTTCATCCTTCCTTCTCCTTTCAGGGCCTATCCGAAAGAGAATCCAGTACCTCTTGGTCGTGAATATCTGAACTGGTTGGTTTTCTTTATATTCTCATTGAAGAAAAGCGAACTTACGAGGTTTCAAGAGCGTGGTAGCTCGACCCTCGGTAGAGTGGCGAAGCTGTGAACGAATGGGTTAGGCGAAAAGGGGAGGCGGTCGAACGACCCCCTTGTTGTGTTGCATTTTGTGATCTTCCGCTTCAGTCTGCGTTTTTCAGATAGCCGGGACGTCTGTTCCATAAAAAAGTTTTGAATTCTTAATTAATTGTTTCCGATTCACCGGATCTTACCTCTTTTGAAAGGAGTCAATAAAAAGTCAAAATATGGACTACTTTTCAAAATGTGGGTTAAAAAACCACTTGTGTAGGTCGGGGTTGAGAGTCCCACCATTTACTTGACTCTTAGAACCTTCGTTGGTTTTGGGCAACGGGGATCAACTTCCAATTCATTTCGGCCAATTGAACCTTCTCGAACTGTTTCTTTTTAAGAACCAAAAAGATTTGTGCCAAAATAACAGATGCCAAGAAGAACAAAAGTGTCTCCATATAATTTCAATGGGGAAATAATTCAAGACATAGCAGAATTACTCACTGATAAATTAAAACATGTAGACTTAAACGAGTCCAATCATAATGTGCTTGTAAAAGAACGACTATCTTCAGATGGTCATATCTATCTTTCAAATTATTCGACAACATAAGTTAATCTTTAACAGTGAGATACTTTATTTTCAAACCTTCATCAAGATAACGACGTGAGAGAATATTATGTTTTGGTATGGTCTTGGTTTAATGCTTGGTTTTTATCTTTGATGGTGTTTGCCAGACGTATCAAGATAAATTTCAGCATCAAGCACCCAAGACTGATAGATTTTGCCTGATATATCAAGGGCTACAAATTCAAGTTTAGAAATATTTGTCATTATTTAGGAAAAAGAAAGTTCGTACCTTGATACTTTAAAAGTATTTGCTCGAGATGGTAGAGTCTCTTGCTGATAATATGTTATAAAATAAAGTAAAGTAAATAACGGCAGAGAAATCTATAGAGAGGGTGATATATTATTCAACTTCAAACTGATGTACACATGAATTATTTTGACTCCCTAAAACAACAACAAACCCAGTATGATCCCAACAAGTGGGGTCTGGGGAGGTTAGTTTGTACGCAGACCTTACCCCTACCTAATGCAGGTGGAGAGGTTGTTTCCAATAGACCCTCGGCTCAGGAGGGCAAGAAGAAGAGGAAAGCTAGGAAGGAAGAAAGAAGGAAGAGAAAAGAAAAAGGGATAGATAAAGGATAAGTAGTACGAAATAATAGCAACAAGGAATACAATACCTGAGGCGAACAAAACCACATAGCGTAATAAAAATCTAAGAATATGAAGGGACGTGCATGCTACTAAGACTATCGGTGAACAACTAAAAAACTACCCATTAACCTTCTACCTTAATCATCAACCTCCAACCCTCCTATCAAGGGTCATGTCCTCAGTGAGCTGAAGCAGCGCCATGTCCTGTCTAATCACCTCTCCTAGTACTTCTTAGGCATACCTCGACCTCTTCTCAAACTCTCCATGGCCAACCTCTCACACCTCCAGATAGGAGCATCAATGCTTTTTCTCTTAACATGTCCGACTCATCTCAGTCTCGACTCCCGCATCTTGTACTCCACGGAGGCTACTCCCACTTTGTCCCGGACAGCTTCATTCTTAATCTTATCTTTCCTGGTACACCCACACATCTATCTCAACATCCTCATCTCTGTTACTTTCATCTTCTGCACGTGAGAGTTCTTGATTGGCCAACACTCAACCCCATACACCATAGCTGGTCGAACCACCACTCGATAAAACTTACCCTTAAGTCTTGGTGGCACATTCTTATAACATAAAACATCGGAAGCGAGCCTCCACTTCATCCATCCCGCTCCGATGCGATGTGAGACATCTTCGTCAATCTCTCCATTACCCTGGATAATAGACCCGAGATACTTCGCTCTCTTGGGGATAACTTGAGCATCAAGCTTAACCTCTACGTCTGCATCATGGGTCCCGTCTCTGAATTTGCACTCCAAGTATTCTGTCTTGGTTCCACTCAGTTTGAAACCTTTAGACTCCAAGGTCTGTCTCCAATCCTCCAACCTCGCGTTAACTCCGTTCGTGTCTCGTCAATCAACATTATATCATCAGCAAATAGCATGCACCAAGGCACCTCCCCTTGGATGTGTCGCGACAGTACATCCATCGCCAAGGCAAATAAAAATGGGCTAAGAGCCGATCCCTGGTGCAACCCCATCACAACAGGAAAATGCTCTGAGTTACCACCCACAGTCCTTACCCGAGTCTTAGCATCATTATACATATCCTTAATCACCCTAATGTACGCTACTGGAACGCCGCTAACCTCCAAACACCTTCACAGTACCTCCCTCGGGACTTTATCATACGCTTTATCAAGGTCAATAAACACCATATGCAAATCCTTCTTCCTCTTCCTATACTGCTCCACTAATCTCCTTACCAGATGAATCGCTTCTGTAGTCGAACGCCCTGGCATGAATCCAAACTGATTCTCAAAAATAGATACGCATCTCCTCACCCTGGCCTCCACCACCCTCTCCCAAACCTTCATAGTGTGACTCAACAACTTGATACCCCTATAATTGTTGCAATTTTGGATATCACCCTTGTTCTTGTAAAGCGGAACCATCGTATTCCACTTCCGTTCTTCGGGCATCTTCTTCGTCTTAAAAATAACATCAAATAGCCCAATGAGCCACTCCAAACTTGCCCGCCCCGCGCTCTTCCAAAATTCCGCTGGGATTTCGCCCCCGTCGCTCTGCCCCTGCACATCTTAAGCATCGCCCCTTCCACCTCCTCTACCGTAATCCGCCTACAGTACCCAAAATCCTGCCGACTCTCGGAGTGCTCCAACTCACCCAGCGCAATGCATTGTTACGAGGCTTTCCAGAAAGCTATGCAAGGCTTTTCTAGAGTTACTTGTAAATTGTCTGCACGAGCTACTTAAAAGCTGCTGGAAACAATAGGAGTAATAATGGATACCTCCCAGCATAAGGTATTCATAACATTTTCAAATATAAAGAAGTGGACTACCAAGAACATAACGCCCGCATAAATGGTAACAAGAAGAGAGTAAAAAAAGGATAAACATATAAATTGATGGAGCAAAATTGCTTTATAAACTCCAAAAATTTGTGAATAACTTTCCCTTGAAACTGAACTCACTTTTTTTAATGCACGATAAGAAGCAAGTAAACTCACTGAAATCTTCATAAAGCCATTCCAAATTTTACCATGGGACAAAAATTTGTAATGGAGTAACTTGACATTATGGGGGTCGTTTGATTTAAAATCAAGTTATATGATACGAAAATTAATAATATAGAAACTTTAATGCAAAAATTATTTTTTCTCGGGTATTTTGGTTCATAGTATAAAAAGGTTTACTGCTTCGTTTGGAATATACAAATAAACAAACAAACAAACAGCTCGAAACACTTCTGTTGGAATTTCCTATTTCATTTGATTCGGTGAATTATATCTGACACTGCCTTCAATAACGAGGTAGTTGACACTGGTTAGCAATGAGATGATGAAAAAAGATTTAACCCATTTTCCTATTGGAGTAGCGATGTTTTATACAAATAAGAGCGTCTCACTCTCACGACAGTCTGGAAGTTTTGAAATACTATTTTCTTTCTGAATTTTAATCCATGTATAGTTAATTAAGGCATCATTATTTCCATCATGAGGAATATGGTATAAAATACTTGGTAATTACTACATAAAGAGATGTATAATTGGTAACCAAGCACTAAATTAAAGTAATAGGAGGATTTTATCACCATGATTATCTTCAAAATTGCTCTAAAAAATAAGAGATTAAACACATATCTAGCCATCATTTAGAAGAAAATGAGACCGCGCACATAAGTGGTCAACTTTCATACTCCATACCCCATCAGAAGGAAACTACATAAGTGGTCAACTTTCATACTCCATACCCCATCAGAAGGAAACTAAGCAGGCGCGCCAAAGGGGAGAATGAGGGGTAAGAAATTTGATTGAAATGAAATTGTTGCTGACGGGAATGTACAATAAGGGATTATCTAGTTATAGATAACTCATGTCAGTGAAACAAGCAAAAAGTAAAAAAAGGTAAAGGACTAAAGAAACAACTAATCAAAAAGATTCAGTTAGCACCCTGCCATCTCTGCTTTAGTTGCTGTGAAATGATTGTACGTCCCACTTTTCTTACCCATGCAAAAAAGTAAATTTCACCAATACCACCTTTTTTGACCAACCCACTTCTTGGGTAAGTGACAAAAAACCATTCAAAACAGAGAGGGAAAAGTACACCACTTCAATTCTTCTCTTGTCTTTTCATTTTCCCTCCACTTATTTTCCATTATTCCATGCCAAAAATTGGGGTCTGAAATGGTGCTAGGTTGTTCTTTGCAGTAGCCTGGAATGAATGAAGTGGTGGCGGCATCCAATTACCAAAATTGGAGCCATCAAGAGTAGTAGTAGTAGCAGTGGCATTGCTGTTTAAGGCCATGCTTATGTCACTAGGAACTGAAGTTATTGTGCTACAACTACCACTTTGTTGCTGCTGATAGTACTCTTCTTCATTGAATATGACTTGATTATTGTTGACTTCATTCAGAGAGGTTGTAGTAGCAGGGAGATCCATGCTGAAAAGTGTTGCACCTTGTGCTTGAATAGTCGTACCATCAGGCGGACCATGAAAGAACGTTGCATTTGCACTAGGGTTTTTACTACCGTTGTTTTGATCATTAGTGTATCCCAGGATTGACCAGAAATCGGAAGAGTCTTGCTTGATAGGCAGTCCGAAACCAAGGTTGACCATATTTGGAGCTTGAGAGGAAAATGGAGCAGAGGTAGCAGAGGAAATATCTCTATCTCGATCTCGATCGTCTGATCGGTTTGCTTCAACATTTTTACTACTTTCAGAAGCAGATTCTGATGAGGTTTTTGATTTACTGTTCATCCCTCCAACAGGGAGATTGCTACTGGCGATACTTTTAACGTCGTAACGGCTAATGTCAAAATTCGTCACCGCATTGAGTCCTCTGAATTTGATTGCAGCAATGTCATAGGCCTCTGCTGCTTCCTCTTGGGTGCCTATTATTTGCATTAAAATCATCACGATTAGTCTAAAGAGTTTGATTATATTGACCGACTCAAATTTGTTGCAAAAGATCATCATCACTGACAGCCTTCCCCGTTCAAAAGAATAAAATTAAAAAGACAATTCTAATGAATGGAACATATTGAACAAATTCAAGGACAGGTTGGAAGAGTCTAGCCAGTATAAATACACAGTCAAAGCCGGACTCTGTATTTATACTATAATTAAAATGACAGCTAACTTGCTATATATTGCAGGTTAAAATTCATTAAAAGATTATTAACACGGTTTGTGTATAACTAAAATTTATTTACTTTTTTTCTTGGTGAAACAAATTACTTGATCAACTTGTTAGCTGGTATTCGATCAGAGAAGATTCTGAAAATACCTTTTTTTATCGTGCTACGCATAAGAGCCAAAAGTGTCAAAATAGAAACAACTCTAAAATACCTTACTCCATCAGGTAATCATTAGTTTAGGGATTGAATTAATATTCACGGTAAAGAAATTTAACTTACTTCCCAAGTTAGCAATTCTAATTTCTTAGGAACAATTATTTATAGTTGTTTTAAACTTTTTTGAGTTGAACTCTTAATTTTATTGTACCTATCATAAGCTACGGTAGTCCTATAAAAACATATTCCAACCCCACTCTCTCGACTGTCAAGTAAACAGAGAGTAGGGACACTAGCAAATACCAGCAACAAAAACCTTGGGCAATTAAAAGAAGATCCACCCAAAAACAAAAATAAAAATAAAACTTTCATATTGTGTTGCCGCCCAAAAGACCACATAAAAATAGCCACGTATGTCATTTATTGTCAACCCTAACCTTAAGGCAGAGCCAGATAATTTAGGGCATCCACCGCCTAAGGTATCAAATAGCAGTAAGGCAGTGATGTTGAATGACGTGCATATTAATTTGTTGTTTTTGTTTTTTTGCATTTGGTGGAATAAACACAACTAATGGATAATAAGATAATATAAACAATGAATAATCTATTGAGTACTAGACGAGCTAAATAGAGGACTAGAAAGAGATAATAAAAACTCACTAAAGGTTCCAAGATAGAGATCTTTGTTTCCTGCCACTCTTCCGATTCTTGCTTGCCATCTACCATGTTGGTGGTGCCTAAAATAAAACAAACCTTTGTTGAATTAGCTCCTTAATTGAACGCATAAATTAACCAGAAAAAATTTAACAAACAAAAAATAAATAATATTCCGAACCTTGTGACGCCTCTGTAGATGGAGGCTCCCCTTGAAAAGCCACTACTTTTCCTACATTAATAAAAAAAAAAAGTAATATAGTATATAGCTAGGGTTTAATGAGACAAGAAAAGGATTTAAAAGAAAATAAAACAACGCCTTAGCTTATGCAATAGATTCCTCACTGAGATAAAAGTAGATCTCTTGGAGAATAAGATAGAAGTAGATTTAGTCTATCTGGAAAAGAAAACTATATTATAATAATAATAACAATTATTATTATTATTTGGAGTTCTAACCTTCTAAGAGAAGCAACAAACTCCTGCCTTGTCATGCTCTTCATTTCTTCTAGCTCCTTCTCATAGTTCAATACCTTCAAATAGGTGACTTCAATATTAAATCTCAATGTAGAGGAAATAAGAGAAAGTAATTAGAAATTCTTTCTTTTCCCTTATGAAATTGGGTTCCAAATTTCGTTACCGGAAAGTTAGTGGTGGTGGTCGGACCCCAATACTTGAGTGCAGCAAGATCATAAGCTCTAGCTGCTTTCTCTTCTTTATCATAACCACCTAATCATAAAAAGACGTAAAAGAATATAAGGATATAAAAAATCTTATAGAAAGTTTTATAGAAAATAAGAATCCAATGAGAATCTAAGCCTTAACACGTACACATTCATTGCAAAAAAGAATCTTCCGTAACACAGTAATACTAAATGAATGAATTTGGATAATGGAGATCTGAGTACTCACCTAAGTAAACTGAAATACCGCAATGATGATTTTAATCGTCCAGAGCCACAATCATTTGGTTGTACAATATTGACATAGAAAGAAACAAAATTAGTCCATATTCCTCATTGTGCATATCATATCATATACAAATTTTTTTTAAAGATTCACTTCAAATCTAGAGATAATTTTCCACGGTAGAGAGAAAAATTATGCGTTACTAGTATATATCATATACTTTCGTGTTGAAACAAATAAAATCTTCAACTTCTACGATATTTGGATGACCTTACAAAAATTAAAAAATTTAGAAAATATTAAACTTTTTAGTAGAACTCTTCACTCAAATGATAAGCTTTGCAACAGAAAGGAAGTTGCCGGAAACCTAAAATGCATACCTTGCCTTCCTTTTCTACTTTGTCCTTCTCTTCTGCAACTATTATCCCACAAATGAGCTTCATATCTTCCTGTCCATCTATGTCTAAAGAAAGCACAAAATCATATAAAATAAATATAGTATATCAAAATCCATTAATCAGTTCTTACTGTAGGTCTTTAATTATATATATTCACCTAGTAACACCTCTGTAAATAGAGGTGCGTTGTCCAAAGGTCTCGACCGTCTTCTTAGCCGGCGGCAGCGCCACCACAGCCAACTGCTTATTCTGCGAATTATTTTGATCAGCAGAAAAGCTACATAGAAAACTAGCTGCTATGGTCTTCAACTCAGAGCCATATTCGCATATAGTGGTAGTAGTAGTAGTTGCTGGATTTTCCCAACACACTTCATTAGCTGCAGCAGTAATGCTAGAAGATCCTCCCAAGAAATCCTCAAGCTTTGGCGGAGCATCAGCACCTTTTCCATTTTCTTCCACTCCACCTATACGTACAAAATCACATCCATACTTGTTAATCAGTCTTTACTACATATTTAAAAGCTGAACGATATCAAATCATTTAAAAGACAACTACATATACCCGAAAATTAAAGTAATTAACTCGCTAAATAGCACTTGTAAATCTTTTTTACATATAGGGTACATAGGCATATAGAGTAAAAAGCTATAATTTCATGAGTGCAATAGTACGTACTGCAATAAGAACCCTAAAGGTTGATGAGTCAGACCCATCAAATTTAAACTTGAATCGATCACTTTATATTAAGTGTATACTATAAGGTTAAATCTTATACTATTAATATATCATGTCTATATAGCTCAAATGCTTCTTATAAGATCTCTATGCGTGTAGCCAGCCATAGAGATTTATATATATACACAGAGATCCTACATGTAAGTTACATGTAGGATCTTTGTCGAAAATAAAAGAAGAGTGAAGTAGGGAATAATACTATTAGGGTTGGAGTTGAAAGATTGGCAGAGGCAAAGTTCTGAAGCATTATTAGAAGGCAAGTTAATGCTGCTATTGTTGTTGTTGTTGCTGTTGATATTGGAAAGTGAGAAGCCAAGCCAGTTCTCAGAAGAAGAATCCATATCCATTATCGTCGGTGAACGTGAAAGTCTTTCTTTTTTCTTTGGGAAACAGCGCTATGCTTACTAAACACTGCCTGCTCTACTTATTTTGTTTTCCCAAGAACTGATTGAAAATTTAACTCAGACTGGAAATTACACGCTTAAATGTTTGTGAAAGAATAAGACATTAATATAGCGATATTATCTGTGAATAGATGGGTAGAGAGAGAGAGATAACAATGCACGAGAACCGAGGCGTCTCTCTTGTGGGGATATACTAAATGGTTGAAAGATAATAATTTCTGTTCATATTTATTTAATTTGTTAAGGTGAGATTAGAGAGCTTTTTTCACATTGATTAACGTTCAAAGAGAAAGTAAAACAATGGACAGTTTGCCAATTATTTGATAGAGCGAATTTTCTTCATGAATTAGTAGAGATAATATATAGAATAATCGAGACTGAGGTAATATTACTACTTGTAGATGGTAGACAATATTGTCTAAATAGAAAGAAAAGAAAATTAAAGTTAAGTACAATATAATGATCTCTGAAGCATTGTTTCATCACAATCCTATTAAGTCAAATGCTAAGACTTTTAACTTAGTATCAGAGTTTTGCTACGTCACGTTAATCCAGTTCAATCTCATGAGATTTTGGGCATAAGTTTGTCTAGCAATTGCGTTCTTTCTAGTTTAGAAATAGTACATCAGATACGAACGACGAAAGAAATTATTATAATTAAACAAAAGACACGAATATTTTGGATTTATGCTGATTAATTATCGCTAATTATGCTCATAATTCGAGGAAAGAAGATATTAGCGCGATTTATGAAACTAAAAGATGGTTTTATAACATAATATAGTTGAAAATCTAATCTATCCTGCTGTCAACAATCGCTTGTATATAAGTTAAATTAATATCTATCATGCATGTTAATGACATGACAAATTAATTGTGATCTAAAGTTGAATGTGCTAAACAGAATAATCCGTTTTCATATTTTTTCTGCAGTGTTGCAGTCTTTACAGTGCATGAATGTGTAAACAAACAAATAATGCAGAGGAAAGCAAGTGGAAGGATATTATGGAATGACTGGGCGGTCTCTCTTGTCTGTCTCTTGACCGAAGAAAGCGAAAACTTTATTAGGAGAAAAAAGAGTTTTGAGACAAAAAGAGAAAAAGATAAAGGAAAAGGGAAGGTATAAAGAATAACAATGGGATGAGAGAGAATGTGTAAAAAAAAATATTGCGTGTATGTGGGGAAGCAAGAGGGAGGAGAAGGGGACACTAAGGACGAGTAGTAAATCATTTCATTTGGTCCCATTGTTTAACGCGTGTCTTTTCTGATTAATTCATTCTTCATTAGTGCGTCGTCGACTCCTGTTTGTTCTAAATGTACTGTAAGATGAAGGAGCGCAAAGGGATTGCAGACAGGAATATGGAAATTTAGAGAACTATAAAATGTTAGGATTAGAGTAAAACACTTGTATTAGCATTTGGGAAAAGGTCCAAGTAATCTTTCACTCGCACTACTGTCAAAAAGCGTCCACAAAAACTTACCGAAATCGGTCGGGAGTCCAACAAAATCGATTGATTTCCAACCGTTTTCAATTGGTCGATAAAATAATGGTCGCAAACGGAGAGCGATCAACTCGATAACTGTCAACGCAGTTTGACCAAATGTCTCACAAATTAATTTTACCGACCGAACTCGGTCGGTATAGTTAAAAATATATTTTATTAATTATTTTTAAATTAGCGACCGAATTCTTCGAAAATTTAATTATTCATTTTTTTAAAAGTTATTCAATTCTGACCGAAAATCGGTCGGTATTGTTAAAATATATAATTATACATTTTTATTTAAAATTGTTAATTCCGACTGAAATCGGTCGGTATTATTTAAATAATTAAAATTTAAAATCATAAATTTCGATTGAAATCGGTCGGTAATTTGATTTTCTAGGAATCAATATGAACATTTTCGACCGAAGTCAGTCGATTTTCTGGGTAATTTTGTGCCAGAAAATAGTTGTTTTATAGTTGCACTACCTGCCAACAACCAATCACCTATAATGGTAACATTACATTGCTTCCATTAAACCAATAACAACAACAACAACAACAACAACAACTATCAAAACTATATTAACAAAATATTATCACCATCTCCATCTCCGTCTCCACTAAACTATATTAACAAAACATCATACCCAACAACAAAATATTTCACAAGTTAAAAATTCAAACATCATTCAGTGAGATTTCTTGTACTACATCATCTTCATCTCCACTACTATAGCATTCATCGTTGTCACGATCCAAATTTTCCACCGTCGGGACCGTGATGGCGCCTAACATCGCACTCGCTAGGCAAGCCAACGTTAGAGTTATAATCACATTTTTTCTTTACTTGTTATAATTAAAACTAAACAAAGCTAAATCAACAGAATTAAACACGGAAGTACATAATTAACTGATCATCTTCATACGGAAAAAAAAAAATGAAACAGTCACCACCTAAAAATTGGTGTCACAACTCACGAACTTTCTACAGATTACTACAAATACTGGTCTGAAATAAAATAATACATCTGTCTCAAAAGTAAATAAAACAGAGATATAGAATGTAGGAGGGGACGCCAGGGCCTGCGGATGCCTGCAGGACTACCTTGGGCCTCCTGACTGAAGTATCAGCAACCGACCTCTCGATCAGCCACTACCAGCTCCGAAATCTGCACAGAAAGTGCAGAGTGCAGTATCAGTACAACCAACCCCATGTACTGGTAAGTGCCGAGCCTAACCTCGACGAAATAGTGACGAGGCTACGGCGGGGCATAAGCAATATATCCTGCAACAGTTTATAATAAAGCAAGAAGAAAATACGGAATGAAATAGGACAGAAACTTGCATTAAATAAATACAGAACCTAGTCTTTCTACCAATACTCAGCTATAACCAATCCTTAAGAGAGTTTCAACACCACAATAATGAATCTCAGCAGAAGAAGAATACATAAATGACAAATGATGCGGCGTGCATCCCGATCCCACCATATAATCAATAACAAAAAGAACATTCACCCTTATTACTCCTTGTTTCGGTGTGCTACCCGATCCCACCAGTCCACCCTTATTACTCCTAAATATATCACCCTTATTGCTCCTATTGCGGCATGCAACCCGATCCCACATGTCCACCCTTATTACTCCTTGTTGCGGCGCGCAACTCGATCCCAACAGACAATCACATTTCACCCTCATTCCTCCTGTTGCAGGGTGCAACCCGATTCCACCACATCAGTACCAATCACAAAATAAGAACAAATATTTCACAAGTTAACTCAAATCCTCCACAACATTTATACCTCAAACCAAAACAACGGAAGATCACTATAATTATGAAACTTCATCAGTTACTATTACACAGCGAGACCAACCAAAGTGTACCATGAAGCACCAATAAACCAACGTAAACCAACAGTGTGATATAATGAAACTACGGAACAATTAATAATGTCAATAGAGAAACAACGTTTAACAAGAAGCAATTAGACATGGAAGCATCAATAAGCAAGTAGCAGTTAAGACAGAAAAGCAATATAATAGGAAACGGGGAAGGGAACAGGCTAAACAGGTAATTTGGCGATGCATAGGTGCTCGTCACCACACCTATACGCCACATACATGGGATTTCACATAGCAAGTAAGTCGGGGATCCCTAATCCCTTGAGTCAAAGGTTAGACCAAACACTTACCTCAAGCCAACGGGTATCTCAAAGCTCAAATACCGCTTTACCTCTCGATTCCACCTCCAATCCACTCGTATCTAGTCATAATTAACTTAATAACATCAATTAACGCTAAAGAAATCAATTCCAATGCATAATTATAGATTCCCCAACATTTTTTCCCAAAAAGTCAGAAATCGACCCCGGGCCTGCATGGTCAAAACTCGAAATTCGGACCAAAATCCGATTATCCATTCACCCCCGAGCCCAGATATACAATTAGGTCTTTGGTAATACCGACTTCAACTTTAGAGGTCTAAAACTTCCCAAACTTTTTAGAAATTTACCTAACGTTCTTAACCTAAAACAAC